TATATATATGTAAGAATGAAAAATGTGAGAGGAAGGTGTCATTAGGACAAAACTTACTGGATGAAATCTGGATGAATTAGATGCTGCCTACCTTGTTTACCAGCAAAATACACACATGCCACACATGAGCTCTCAACCAAATTAATCAGTGAGGTACCAAACTGTAAACTGTACGGTGAAATTAAAATCCTTCAAAACTACTACTTCTGAAGTGAAGATTTCAAAAAGCAAGGCCACATTTTCTGCCCTCTTCAAAAGAGATGGTACATTAAGAAAAAAAGGCACACAGCCCATTGAATAGTTCACTCTTACTTATATATTTGGATTCCATCCTTCATTCTAATTAAAAAATATCACACAATCGGTGGCCTTCCTTGTTCTTTTTAAGTGATGGTTGTGCTTTTTGAGTAGCAAGGCCAACAAAGTAATCAATTTAGGAAGCAATCTTGTCATTTGCCATTATGTTCAGATCCAAAGACAGCTCGTTCAAACCCTCTGATCAACTAGGAAAAACTGTGGGAAAACTGAATTAGAGAAACCCTCCCCTCTGTCAACAGCTACTATTCTTGTAAACTTAATCAAAGCACCAAAGTCCCAAACGTAAATGTATTAAAAGCCTAGAAGTACTGTAATAATTGCCTGGTTCAAGAGGCAGCAGTTTTTAATTACAGTGGCTTCACAAAGACCATTCAGACCACTTCATGTTTTGTGCACTTTATTGTGTTGTCTAATTTTAAATAGTTTTAATTTGCCCAAAACTCTACACTCAATAACTAATGAGTGAAGACATGTTTTTAGAAATGTATATATATAAAAAAAACTATATTCTACAGAGTTTAAGTCTGGAGGACAGTCTGATACCGGTCCTGAAGCTTTGTCTTGCCTGGATGCTTTGGGTTGCTGTCATTGCCCCGGTCTCAGGTCATGTGAACTCTGGACCGGGTTTAATTCAAGTATCTTTCTGTATTTGGTTTTATTCATCCTTCTCACAACTCTGACCAGTCTCCCAGTCCCTGCCAATGAGAAGCCCCCAGTACAGTAGCATGATGCTGCCACCACCTTGCTTCACCATAGGGACTGTATTAGCCAGGTGATGTGCAGTGCCTGGTGATCGCCAAACACAAAGTGCTTGGAGTTCTGCCCAGAGTTCAGTTTTTGCCTCATCAGGCTAGAGGATCTTTTTTCTCATCCTCTCAGAATCCTTTAAATGCTGTTTGACAAACTCCATTTGAGCTGTCATATGTCTTTCACTAACCTGACCATTCTACCATAAAGACCTGATTTATGAAGTGCCACTGAGATGGTCAGCTCTCCCACAGGCTCTCTCAACGCTGCAGAGGCTGTTGGGTTTGATCACTTCTCTAACCAAGACCGTTCTTTATGGTTACTCGGTTTGGCTGGCGAGTCAGCTCTAGAAAGAGTCCTGGTAGTTCCAGATGTCTTCCATTTCATAGTTGTTCAGGGAACTGTGCTCCTGGAAACACTTAAAATGGTTTTGTACCCTATCCCTCGACACAATTTTATCAAGGAGGCCTACACAGAGTTCCTTGGACTTCATGGCTCAGTTTTCATCCTGACATGCAGTGTGAATTATGGGATGTTATACAGTGTAGACATGCCTTTCTAAAATATGTCTAAACAATTCAATTTGCCACAGACAGACTCCAATCATGTTTTAGACATGTTCTATTTAGAGCAAACAGGATGACTGTTTTTATTAAACAGTCAGCAGTTAATAAATACATATTTTAATGTTGTAATTATGAGTTACTGGGTGTAGATAGATGGCAGTCATATTCATTTGAATTTAAATCATACAATGTGCAATAAGTGAACTGTTCTCAATACTGCACAGCTGTACTGAGAATACTGGATAAGGTGCTCCAAGATGGTACCTTATTCACTCTTATGAAAGTTACTCACACAATACATATTTTAAAAAAAATTCATGAAAACTATACATTTGAATTTTTGGCCTTAATGCAATAAGCATGATTTTGTAGTGCATGACACTGGTCTGACAGCTCACCTTTGGTCCTCTCATCCTCCTTTCTCAGGTCTGGCATGTTGCTACAAGTGTAGGTAGGGCTCGTCTCCTCATCGTTGCGTGGAAAACTGATACGACGAGAACTAGTAGCTGAACTGGAAGGTCGGGAACTGGTACAGTTCTGTAAAAGAATATAAGAGTGTTAACAGGTAAGACAACATGTAAGGAAGCTAACTGATAAGAACAATATCAAGTACATCCATACTTTCCTAGTTGATCAGTGGGCAACACCAACAAGTAACACTTTAAAAAAATATCTTCAAGTAATATCAGCCTAATTGTGAGGTAATTTTCTCCAGCTATTCCAATTTACACTGCTTGCATTAAACACAATACATCAAATAAATATCACCTAGTTTAAAGGTAACATTGTGTATTGACAGAAAGTGCACTGAAGAAATCTTTATTAGTTAGAATGATTAATAGTGGCCTTTTTAACAAAAACATTTCTTTCATTACCAATGATATACATCTCATTAAGCAGCCACAGTCAGCAACGGGCTGTTGTAAAGTACTTCATACAATTCCAGCATTAAACCTGAGCATCTGCTCTATGAATTTAACTCGGATAGCTTCCAGTCAGACCAACATAAACGGCAATCACTGAAAACCCATTTGTTTGTACAGCTCTCAAACAGACTTGGAGCTTCTACACAACTAGCCTCTTGT